TACACTGCTATTAAATTATGTTTAAAGAAATGCATATTTATAAAGGAAGACCAGTAAAATTATCTGCAAATGTTGCATCTTTTTTTTTCACAAAAAAATCCTTATGAAATGGGTAATTATGGTTGCAAACTCCATTGGAAATTTGAATTGAGATTATGACTATATCTTGAGGGAAAGAATTTTTTGGGGGAAAAAAGGGGGGGGGGGGGGGTAAAAAGAAATTGTGGGGGGTCAATTTTTTCTCATTTCAGATTTCAGAAATTAACAGAATTATTCTTCAAATATTATTTTTTTTTCAAATTTCAAATATTGAGAAAAATTCAAGAAGTAATCTTTAATTGCACAGTATGGCGCATTAGATTTGTAAAATCTTTGACCACATTTATTTATTTGTTATGCCGAATCTAACCGTGTATTGAGATTTTTAATTTTGGGTCCAGTTTTCAAATTGGTCTACATTAAGGTCCAAAGGGTCCAAAATTAAACTTTGTTTGATTTTAATATAAAATTGAATATATGGGGTTCTTCGATATGCTGAATCTTAACATGTATATAGATTTTTTATTTTTGGCCCAGTTTTCAAGTCCAAATTGGGGTCCGAAATTAAACTTTGTTTGATTTCAACAAAAATTGAATATATGGGGTTCTTTGATATGCTGAATCTAACCATGTATTTAGATTTTTTATTTGTGGACCCCGCTATCAAATTGGTTCATATTGAGGTCAAAAGGGTCCAAAATTAAACTTTGTTTGATTTCAACAAAAATTGAATATATGGGGTTCTTTGATATGCTGAATCTAACCATGTATTTAGATTTTTTATTTGTGGGCCCCGCTATCAAATTGGTTCATATTGAGGTCAAAAGGGTCCAAAATTAAACTTTGTTTGATTTCAACAAAAATTGAATATATGGGGTTCTTTGATATGCTGAATCTAACCATGTATTTTGATTTTGGACATTGGACCATAATAGGTAAATTAAAAAAATTGAAGTTCTTAGACCACATTCTTTCTGTGTCAGAAACCTATGCTGTGTCAAATATTTAATCACAATCCAAATTCAGAGCTGTATCAAGCTTGAATGTCATGCCCCATCTGTTCAGGGTTCGACCTCTGCGGTCGTATTAAGCTGCGCCCAGCGAAGCATTTTATTCTAGTTTCCAGACAATAACTTGTGTCCAAGTGTATGGATCTCTCTGAAATTGTACTGCAAGGTACCATACCACAAAGGGAAAGCTGGGATTGAGTTTTAGGGTGATGAATCATAAGGGGGTTCAAAAAATTGGGGGGGATTTTTTTTTGCCTTTTTTTTCTTTAAAATTTTCAATTTTAAATTGGTTATTTCTGATTTATATATAAAAGCAAATAATAATGATATGGTTTGAATAGGTAAATTAAAATTTTTTAAGTTCTTAGACCACTTTCATTCTGTGTGAGAAACCTATGCTGTGTCAAATATTTAATTACAATCCAAATTCAGTGCTGTATCAAGCTTGAATGTTGTGTCCATACTTGCCCCAACTGTTCAGGGTTTGACCTCTGCGTACGTATCAAGCTAACTTAACAAATAGAAAAATTTCAGAATTTTTCGTTTCCGTTCTCTAACTTAAGTTTGCTTCAACCAAATGTTATGAAACTTATACACAAGGCTTATTTCCACAAAATTCAGATCAAGTAGGAATTTGGGTAGCGTCACTTTTACCTTTCTAGAGTTATATCCCTTTAAAAATAGAAAAATTGCTGAATTTTTTTGTTTCCGTTCTCTAACTTAAGTTTGCCTCAACCAAATGTTATGAAACTTATACACAATGCTTATTACCACAAAATTCAGATTAAGCATGAATTTGAGTAGCGTCACTTTTACCGTTCTTGAGTTATGTACCTTTATAATGTTATATGCAAGCGGGGGCATCATCTGTGTCCCATGGACACATTCTCCATTTATTAGTCCCCTACCGACGAAGTCAAAGGGGACTTTAGGTTTGCACTCCGTACGTCTGTCTGTCTGTGTCTGTCTGTCCATACGTCAGTCTGTCAAATTAGTTTTCCACACTTTTTAGCTCACCTGGCCCTTAGGGCCAAGTGAGCTTTTCTCATCACTTGGCGTCCGTCGTTGTCGTCGTCGTTAGCTTTTTACAAAAATCTTCTCCTCTGAAACCACTGGGCCAAATTTAATCAAGCTTGGCCACAATCATCATTAGGGTATCTAGTTTAAAAAATGTGTCCGATGATCCCGCCAACCAACCAAGATGGCCACCATGGCTAAAAATAGAACATAGGGGTAAAATGTAAATTTTTGGCTTATATCTCTGAAACCAAAGCATTAAGAGTAAATCTGACTAGGATAAAACTGATTATCAGGTCAAGATCTATCTGCCCTGAAATTTTCAGACAAATCTGACAACCTGTTGTTGGGTTGCTGCCCCTGAATTGGTAATTTTAAGGAAATTTTGCAGTTTTTGGTTATTATCTTGAATATTATTATAGATAGAGATAAACTGTAAACAGCAATTATGTTCAGCAAAGTAAGATCTACAAATAAGTCGTCATGACCAAAATGGTCAGACGACCCCTTTAGGAGTTATTGCCCTTTATTGTCAATTTTTAACAGTTTTTCATTAATTTTTTTAATATTTTACAAAAATCTTCTCTGAAACTACTCAGACAAATTTAACCGTACTTGGCCATAATCATTATTAGGGTATCTAGTTTAAAAAATTTGTCCGATGACGCTGCCTTCCAACCATCATGGCCGACTTGGTTAAAAATAGAACATAGGGGTAAAATGCAGTTTTTGGTTTACATCTCTGAAACTAAAGCATTTAGAGCAAATCTGACAGGTGGCAAAAATGTTCATCAGATTTAGATTTATCTGCCCTGAAATTTTCAGACGAATCCGACAACCTGTTGTTGGGTTGCTGCTCCTGAGTTAGTAATTTTACAGAAATTTTGCAGTTTTTTGTTATTATCTTAGATATCATTATAATATCTAGTATCTAATACTATTAATTATGATTTTAACCTTATTTTACATGATTTCCAAAGCATCAGTAAATACAGGTGAGCGACACAGGCTCTTGAGAGCCTCTAGTTTTCTTTGTGCTTCGAGATATTGATTTGATATTTGGTGTATTGTTTTATCATAGCAAGTTACAGATCAAGTTCGAATTTTGTTCCGGTCTGATGATTTTGTGCAGAGTTATGGTCCTTGGACTTAGAAAATTCAATCAAATAATCAGTTTTCCTCACTTTTTATACGACTTTACGGTCGTATATTGGTATGATGTTGGCCTCGTCGTCTTCGTCCGAAGACACATTGGTTTTCGCACTCTAACTTTAGTTAAAGTGAATGGATCTCTATGAAATTTTACCATAAGGTTCAATACCACAAAAGGAAGGTTGGGATTGATTTTGGGGGTTATGGTACCAACAGTTAAGGAAAAAGGGGCCCAAAATAAGCATTTTTGTAACTTCCAGCCATAACTTGTGTGTTAGTGTATGGATCTCTCTGACATTGTACCACAAGGTTCCATATCACAAAGGGAATCCTGGGATTGATTTTGGGGGTAATTGCCTCAATATTTTAGGAATTAGGGGCCAAAAAAGGGGCAAAAAACAAGCATTTTTCTAGTTTCATGACAATTACTTGTGTGTAAGTGTATGGATCTTTCTGAAATTGTACTACAAGGTTCCATATCACAAAGGGAAAGCTGGAATTGAGTTTGGGGGTAATTGCCCGAAACATTTAGGAATAAGGGGCCAAAAATAAGCATTTTTCTAGTTTCCAGAGAATAACTTGTGTTCAAGTGTATGGATCTCCCTGAAATTGTACTGCAATGTACCATACCACAAATGGAAGGCTGGGATTGATTTGGGGGGTAATTGCCTCAAAATTTTAGGAATTAGGGGCCAAAAAGGGGCAAAAAACAAGCATTTTTCTAGTTTCCGGACAATAACTTGTGTGTAAGTGTATGGATCTTTATGAAATTGTACTACAAGGTTCCATATCACAAAGGGAAAGCTGGGTTTAAGTTTGGGGGTAATTGCCCTAAACGTTTAGGAATTTGGGGCCAAAAAACAAGCATTTTTCTAGTTTCCAGACAATAACTTGTGTTCAAGTGTATGGATCTCTCTGAAATTGTACTGCAAGGTACCATACCACAAAGGGAAGGCTGGGATTGAGTTTGGGGGTGATGAATCATAAGGGGGTTCAAAAAATTAGGGGGGGGGGATTTTTTTTCCCCTTTTTTTTCTTTAAAATTTTCCATTTTAAATTGGTTAATTCTGATTTATATATAAAAGCAAATAATTATGATATGGTTTGAATAGGTAAATCAAAAATTTTCAACTTCTTAGACCACATTCATTCTGTGTCAGAAACCTATGCTGTGTCAAATATTTAATCACAATCCAAATTCAGTGCTGTATCAAGCTTGAATGTTGTGTCCATACTTGCCCCAATTGTTCAGGGTTTGACCTCTGCGGTCGTATCAAGCTGTGCCCAGCAGAGCATTTTATTTTCATCATGCTTGAAGATATTGATTTGATAATTGGTTAATAGTTCTATCATGACAAGTTACAGATCAAGTTCGAATTTTGTTCCGGTCTGATGATTTTGTGCAGAGTTACGGTCCTTGGACTTAAATTCACTTAAATAATCAATTTTCCACACTTTTTTTCGTCATGCCTGAAGATATTGACTTGATATTTGTTATATAGTTTACACCATGACAAGTTATTGATCAAGTGAGCATTTTGTTCCAGTACAATGAATTTTTAACAGGTAGGGGACTATGTATTGCCATACAATACTCTCAGAACGCTTTTTTTATATTTTGGGGGGGAAATCAAGTTGAAAGAGAGAAAATGAAAACAGAAAAAAGAAGATCAACAAAAATGAGATCTTAGTCATTCCTTATATACTTTTCTTTAATGGTGGAGAGAGTCTGTTGTTGAACATATGCATAAAGTTAGACTTCTTTCCTGAAACTACTTTTAGGAGACTGGAGACTTGTTGGTTAATAGAGGACACGAATATGGTGTAACTACAGGTAGAAAAAGACGTGTCGGATGGTTAGATATGGTGATGTTAAACTTTTCAAATATGATAAGTGGATTTACTGGGTAAGTTTATATGATGACATGCAAATGGTGATTGACACCTTTATAGCTTGCTGTTCGGTGTGAGCCCAGGCTCCGTGTTGAAGGCCGTACTTTGACCTATAATTGTTTACTTTTTTCACATTGTGACTTGGATGGAGAGTTGTCTCATTGGCACTCATACCACATCTTCTTATTTCTACATATAGATAGGGTTATCATGACTTCTTTTGAATGGTAGTAAGACCTTTAATGAAGAGGTTAAGTCTTTTTGCTTTGCTGGATGAATAAGTATGTAGTCATTTCTAGTTTTGGGATGTTAAATTAGATACCCCTAGCAGTCTGTGCCAAGCTCTTTTGGTTTCTGTCTGACATTTGGTCAGACAGTGTTGTAGGTTTTGTCTGACCGAACAGATTTTAGTCCGTCCGAAAAAAAAAATCAATTAATTATAAAGCTTATTGACTATTGTGTTGTTTATGTTTCCGTTCTCTAACTTGAGTTTGCCTCAACCAAATGTTATGAAACTTATACACAATGCTTATTACCACAAAATACAGATCAAGGATGAATTTTGGTAGCGTCACTTTAACTGTTCTAGAGTTATGCCCCTTTATAAATGGAAAAATTGCAAAATTTTTAGTTTCCGTTCTCTAACTTAAATTTGCCTTAACCAAATGTTATGAAACTTATACACAATGCTTATTACCACAAAATAAAGATCAAGTTTGAATTTTGGTGGGGTCACTTTAACCATTCTCGAGTTATGACCCTTTATAATGTTGTATGCAAGCGGGGGCATCATCTGTGTCCATGGGGACACATTCTCCATTTATTTAATTTGTTTTTTCAGTAGTCCGGCTTTTACAATCCCTTCACATTACCACATGGCTATGGTGTTAAGGGTTTTGATTAATAAAACAAAAATTAAATAATTGATTACAGTTTTTCTACTACTGTGAATATATATATCAACATTATAACAAAAAGGGACAAGAACAGTTACAAACACATACACACACTCTTGCACTTGCATTTACATAGCATACATCAACTTGTATATTGCAAAGAAAAATGTTGTCTTTGTAAAGATCTTCCCTTTATAAATTGTAAGATCTTTTTCTTTTATATATAGTTTGAACTATTAGTAACTATTACTAATGAGTAAAGATAAAAAATATGTGTGGTACCATTTTTATTTGCTATACAAATGTATATATAATGTCATCCGAAGACACCTTGGTTTTCGCACAATAACTTTAGTTTAAGTGAATGGATCTCTATGAAATTTAAACATAAGGTTTATAACCACAGAAGGAATGTTGGGATTGATTTTGGGGGTTATGGTCCCATCAGTTTAGGAATTAGGGGCCAAAAAGGGGTGCAAATAAGCATTTTTCTAGTTTCATGACAATAACTTGTGGAACAGTGTATGGATCTCTCTGAAATTATACCACAAGTTTCCATACCACAAAGGGATGGTAAGAATTGGCTTTGGGGGGTTATGGCTCAAACCGTTAAGAATTAGGGGCAAAAAAGTGAGAAAAAACAAGGGTGTCCTGGTTAATGGACAATTACTTAAGTACAAATTACAGTGTAAGGGAGGTAATTCAAAAACTACTTTGAATTACCTCCCTTACACTGCTTTTAAATTATGTATAAAGAATTTTTATACGACCTTGCGGTTGTATATTGGTATGACGTTGGCGTTGTCGTCGTCCGAAGACCTTTATGAAATTGTACTACAAGGTTCCATATCACAAAGGGAAAGCTGGGTTTGAGTTTGGGGGTAATTGCCCTAAATGTATAGGAATTTGGGGCCTAAAAACAAGCATTTTTCTAGTTTCCAGACAACAATAACTTGTGTTCAAGTGTATGGATCTCTCTGAAATTGTACTGCAAGGTACCATACCACAAAGGGAAGGCTGGGATTGAGTTTGGGGGTGATGAATCATAAGGGGGTTCAAAAAATTTGGGGGAGGGATTTTTTTTTTCCTTTTTTTCCTGTTTTTTTCTTTAAAATTTTCCATTTTAAATTGGTTATTTCTGATTTATATATAAAAGCAAATAATAATGATATGGTTTGAATAGGTAAATTAAAAATCTTTAAGTTCTTAGACCACATTCATTCTGTGTCAGAAACCTATGCTGTGTCAAATATTTAATCACAATCCAAATTCAGTGCTGTATCAAGCTTGAATGTTGTGTCCATACTTGCCCCAACTGTTCAGGGTTCGACCTCTGCGGTCGTATCAAGCTGCGCCCGGCAGAGCATTTTATTGTATTGTCTTGAGGTGTTTAGCTGTCAATTCATTTTTAGAAGTTACTATTTTAATAATTTTTAAAATGCTGATTAAGGTAAATTAATTTTAGCTATGATTATGTATGTCATTTTCTATTTTAAGACTTTCATGATTTTATTAAATTGGTTATTATGGTTGCAAACTCCATTGGAAATTTGAATTGAAATTGTGACCCTGACTGAGGGAAAGAATTTTTTTTGGAAAAAGAGGGGTGGGTGGGGGTGGGGGGCGGTGAGGTAAAAAAAAAATTTGGGGCCGGGGGGGGGGGGGGGGGGGGGACAATTTTTCTCCTTAAGATTTCAGAAATCAAAATGAAAATCCTTCAATTTTTTTTTTTTTTTTTTAAAAGAGGGGGGAGGTCAATTCGTAACAGCATAGTTTATTGCACAAAAGCAAAAAATTGAATATAAATTCAAATCATATAACCAATGGCAATTCTAAGTTCTTTGACTACAGAAACCTGTATCAAGCGTGAATATTGTGTCCATTTTTCCTCTGTGGTTGTATCCTGCTGCGCTCGGCGAAGCAATTTATTGCTTTTAGCTCTATAAGACTTGGTTTCTTTTCATACAATTTGCATTTGTATATATAGTTCTTCGCAATTATAATCATCAAATTCAAAAGTAGACTCTCATTTTTAAGGCCAAGAAAAATGTTGTTTCTTTTATAATATAAAGATCCACAAAATTTTGTTTCATTTTTCGTGAAAAGGATTCTCATATAAGATGTGGTATTGGATGTTCATAGAACAAATGCTCCATGGTTTCATTAGAACCCTTACAAAATGTACAAAGCTTTGAATCTTTAAGTTTAACTTTATACAAGAAAGTATTAGTTGCAATTATTCTATTCAAACATTTATATTGAAAAATTTTCATGATTTTCTTAAAATAATATAATATTCTGACCATTCTGCAATTTCTATACCTAGTAATTCCTCCCATTGCAAGAACTTTTCTTTTGGCAGTTGCACAAATCTGTCAACAAGATCTTTTTATATAAATTTGTCCTTTTTGTTGTCTAGCCTGCGACAATGTGAGACATAGGTATTGCTTTTCCGGCGGCATTGAGTTTTTTGCTTAAGTTCGTTTGATAGGAACTACTCGTGATAGATCAAGGATATTTTGTATAAAGTTGTAGTACTATCAGTACATATCAGTTTGACGACCATTTTGAGGCTCTGCCCCGTAGGTCATGGTCCAATTACTTTGAATTAATTTTCAATTTTCAATTTCAGGTTTGTTTGCTTAAGTTAGTTTGATAGGAACTACGTGTGATAGATCAATGATATTTTGTGAAAAGTTGCATTACTATTAATACATATCAGTTTTACGACTATTTTGAACTACTTGTGATAGATCAATGATATTTTGTATAAAGTTACATTACTATCAGTAGATATCAATTAGATGACTATTTTAAGGCCCTGCCCCTTGGTCATAGTCCAGTGACTTTGAATTAATTATCATCTACCACATTATAGATCAATGATATTTTGTATGAAGTTGCATTACTATCTGTAGATATCAGTTTGTTAACTATTTTTGGCCCTGCCCCTGGTCATGTTCCAGTGACTGAATTAATTAACAACTTTCAATGTTAAGTTTTCTGCTTAAGTTAGTTTGATAGGAACTACTTGTGATAGATCAAAGATATTTTCTTTAAAGTTTCTCCTTCTGAAAATGCCACCATACTGATCAAGGGTTTTCAATAATAATGATTGCCAATTGCCAAAGTCTTGATAATAGTAATCTTTCTCATTAGGTTTATTTTTAGCTCAACTGACCCAATTGGCCAATTGAGCTTTTCTCATAACTTGGCGTCCCTCGTCCGTCGTTGTTGTCCGTCACTGTTAACTTTTACAAAAATCTTCTCCTCTGAAAATACTGGGTCCAATTTAAGCAAACTTGGCCATAACCATCATTGGGGTATCTAGTTTAAAAAATATGTCAGATGACCCTGCCTGCCAACCAACATGGCTGACATGGCTAAAAATAGAACATAGGGGTAAAATACATGTTTGGAAAAAAGATTAAAAAAATCAGTCTGCCTATGAATTGAATAAGAAAACGTATTTTCTCCAGGTCACATTGGCTTTCATCAGACTTAATGTTTTGTCAATGACATTGTTTATATGTAACTTTGTTTAAATGTGTTACTTGTTTTCGTTTAAATGTACTCCAATCAAATCATTTACTTGGCTTTTTATGCCCCCGCCGCAGCGGAGGGGGCATTCAGTTTTATCCTTGTCCGTCTGTACGTCCCAAAGCTGGTTTCCGTTGTCTAACTTTAGTTTGCCTCAACCAAATGTTATGAAACTTATACACAATGCTAATTACCACAAAACACAGATCGAGTTTGAAAATGGGTGGCTTCACTTGTACCATTCATGAGTTATGCCCCTTTATAAACATAAAAATTACTGAATTTTTCGTTTCCATTTTCTAACTTTAGTTTGCCTCCACCAAATGTTATGAAACTTATACACAATGCTTATTACCACATAATACAGATCAAGTTTGAAATTGGGTGGCGTCACTCCTACCGTGCTTGAGTTATGCCCCTTTTATATAAACATAAAAATTGCTGAATTTTTCGTTTCCGCTCTCTAACTTTAGTTTGCCTCAACCAAATGTTACAAGACTTATACAGAATGCTTATTACCACATAATACAGATCAAATTTGAAATTGGGTGGCATCACTTATACCGTTCTTGAGTTAT